GCGGGCGCATCATGAGGTCAGGAGATCGAGAACCATTCGCTGGTTATCCCAACACAGTGGTGAAATCCCATCTCTACTAAAAATACAAAAAAATTAGCCGGACATGGTGGCAGGCACTTGTAGTCCCAGCTGCTGGGGAGGCTGAGGCAGGAGAATGGTGTGAACCCGGGAGGCGGAGCTTGCAGTGAGCCGAGATCGCGCCACTGCACGCCAGCCTGGGTGATAGAGGGAGACTCCGTCTCAAAAAAAAAAAAAAAAAGGCTGTTGTCCTGGTAAACGTTGTTCTAGCAACTACCCCAGTCTTAAGTCATTCCATCCATGTATTTACATTTTTCCAATGAATTACTTCCTAGAGGTGAAATCAGCGGGTTAAAAGAAATAGACATAATCAATTTGGCTGAATTTTGCTGACTTTTGCCAAATGACCCCTGGCAGGAGGTCCTAACACATTTTCAACACTGAAGCAGAAGTCACTATGGGAGGAGGGGGTGTGCCTTCTCTGCCACTAACGGAGGAAATTCCTGAAGGAGGGCCCTCAGGATCCCAAAAGAGCCGCAGCACTCTCCCCGGCCTGACAGAGAGCTCAGTTATTTACATTCCCTTCTGGTGACATCATGGGGCGGCTCCAGGGAGGCTGGCCAGCAGCAAACTCACCAAATAAGGTTGGAGGCTCTACAAAAGGAGGCAGGGCCTAGTGGTGTCTGGCTGGTCTGGAGGGGGCGGGGTCTCAGGGGACCCTCCAAGCTCCAGACAGGCAGGAAATCGGCTGCCTCCCTGGAAGAGGAAACCTCTGCTTTTTCCCACAAGAATGTTAAACAATTGACAGAGGTGTGGGTGCAGCTGGGAGACACGCCCCTCCCTCCCCCTCCTTTAAATATCCAAGAGCTAGGAAAAAACTCAAGGGCCTCCCACAAAAGAGGATTCACACAGGGAGAATTTTTTTTTTGTTTTAAATAAATGGGGTTTTACTGTGTTGCCCAGGCCGCAGTGCGGTGGCACAATCATAGCTCACTGCAGCCTCCGACTCCTGGGCTCAAGCCATCCTCCTGTCTCAGCTTCCCTAGTAGCTGGAACTACAGGCATGAGCTACCACACCTGGCTAATTTTTTTCATTTTTATTTTTTGTAGAGATGGAGTCTTGCTATGTTGCCCAGGCAGAAGACACACCTTTCAATAACAAAAGCAGCTGGCATCTGTTGCCCTGGTGCTCCATGCCAGGCACGGTATTGGCTGCTGTAAAGACTCAATTACTTTCCTCCCCACAGGAAACTGACGATTCACAAGCAGGAATTCACAGCCAGGGCTGTCTGACTCCATGGCCCAAATTTGTTCCACCAGCACACGGTACTGAGTCATTCCTTCTCAGGATACAGGATAAAGAACAGGAAGGAGACTTGCTGTTCAGAAAACCCCACAGCGCCTCCCTCCTATCCCTGGAGCCCAGCCGCGGGGGCGGACAGCTCACCTGCCCAGCTCCTCCCCCATCTCATAATGGTCCTCCACGTCCTCCTGCCTGAACGTGGACATGGCGGCCGGTCTGCCTTCCAGCAGCTTCCACTCCAGGGAAAGCGCAGTCACCACAGCCTGGAGATAGGACCTCAGGAGTCCCCTAATGGTGACCCTGGAGGAGACAGGGAAAGAGGGAAGTGAGGAACTGAGACACCACCCTTTTCTCCTAGATTAATGGACAGACCTGCCTACCAAACACAAGCCTCCCACCTCTCCACTCTGAAGCTCCAGACTCCTCATAGAGGTGCTGTGTTTAGTGGGCTGGGTCCTGTCATGTCACCTCTTTTAAAGCCCCATAACCACTCAAAAGGTTAGTTAACAGCCCCACTGGGCCACCTTCACCCCACAAAACTCTCCAGAAACATAATTCTGACTTCCCTGACTCTGCCGGCGCCTTTCTTTGCCTCTCCTAGACTTCTCCCAACCTGCTCAGCCAAAATCCCCCACCATTCCTGCACGTTCCCCACGCTCTCCTCAACCTCAAATCCCAGGGCTACCTCACTCCCTGGCCAATGTCTTAACGAAGTTCTCAAGTCTACTTCTTTTTGTTGTTGTTGTTTTGAGAAGGAGTCTCGCTCCGCCGCCCAGGCTGGAGTGCAGTGGTGCAATCGTGTCTCACTGCAGGCTGGAACTCCACGGCTCAAGCGATCGTCCCACCTCGGCCTCCCAAAGTGCTGCCTGCCATTCTGGTCAAAATTCCCAAGTTAAGTTACTACCTTAACCCCTCCCTTGTCCTTGCCCTCGGTAGGTCTCTTAAGAACCTCATCGATGGAACACCCCCGCCCACCCCTAATCATCTCTGACTCCCTCCAATCCTGAATTTTCCAGGAACTGGACGACGCCTTCCACGCTCCTGCAAGCCCACTTTGCCTCCCTCCGGCGCTGACCTCCACCGTTCTCGCAAGATTAACCTCTTCCTCCCCGCTTCATGTATCAAAGTCCCCCAACCGCAGTCTCCCCTACCCCCCAAAACGGGCCTCCAAAAAGGACACCATCTGAGTGTCCTCCACCGTCCTGCACCCCCTCTCGCCCCAAATCTCCGCACAAGCCCCTAGGCAGACCCCAATGGCTACCTTTGCAGAACCGCCCCCAAGCCCTTCCCCATCCCTAAGGCTCCGCTCCAGCATCCCTGGTGCCGCCACGCCCCTCGCAGGCCCGGCCGAGCCCCTTCCCCGGCCCAGTCAACTAGATGGGTCCCCAAACCTACCAGCCCCTCAGGTTCTCTCCCTCCCTCGTCCTCCGCGGGCCCCCGGAGCGCCGCCCCGAACCCACCCAACCCTTCAGTCTCGGCCCGAGTCCGCTCCTCACCCTCCGTCGTCCGAAGTCCACGGCCGGCGCCGCCTCGCTGGCCACTGCCGCCTCCTCCAGAAGCCCCGCGCCCCGGCGCCGCGACGCGCCTGCGTCGACGTCACCACACCCGCCAGTGCCCGCCCCCGGGAAGCAGATCCCGCCGCCTATTGGCCGGTCCTCCCGCCGCCGATTGGCCAATCCGCCCGCCGCTCGCGCCGCACCTCAACGCCCCGCCCCCAGCTGCCTTTTCGGCCCCCGCACCCGGATGCAGCCTCGCCATTGGCTGAGGACTCGCCATCCCTGATTTGATTGGCTGCAGTCGACGCTGGTCAGCGGACGGAAAAAAGGCCGAATTCTGGCCCCTGGATCGCCCCGCCCGCCTCTCCTCTGACCCTGGTGCTGAAGCTAGAGAAGTGAAGCTGAAGCCCTGCATCCCGCTTCCTGCCTTCCCAGAGCACCGGATGCGCGAAATGGATGGTTCACCTGTTGCTGAGCGCGCATGGCAGCTCCTGGAGTGGACCCCGGGAATGCTTTAGGCCCTATGTGGCAGTTTCCTTCTCTGAAAACTGTTACCCACATTCTAAATACTTAAAATGCAAATGAGGCCAATCCGGGGTTGTCATTCACAGGGCTCCTGTTCGTCTCAAAATAGAGGATAACAGGCCGGGCGCGGTGGCTCACGCCTGTAATCCCAGCACTTTGGGAGGCCGAGAGAGGCGGATCACGAGGTCAGGAGATCGAGACCATCCTGGCTAATACGGTGAAACCCCGTCTCTACTAAAAATACAAAAAAAAAGCCAGGCATGGTGGGCACCTGTAGTCCCAGCTACTCGGGAGGCTGAGGCAGGAGAATGGCGTGAACCCGGGAGGCGGAGCTTGCAGTGAGCCGAGATCGCACCACTGCACTCCAGCCTGGGCGACAGAGCGAGACTCCGTTTCAAAAAAAAAAAAAAAAATAGAGGATAACAGCTAGCATTGTATTGAGACTTAGTATGTGCCAACTGACAACACTGGGACGTAACTTAATATTTTGAGACAGAGCGTCACTCTGTCACCCAGGCAAGAGTGCAGTGGAGGTATCCGGCTCACTGCAACCTCCACCGCCCGCGTTCAAACGATTTCCGTGCCTCAGCCTCCCAAGTAGCTGGGATTACAGGTGCCCATCACCAAGCCCGGCTAGTTATCCTATTCTTAGTAGAGACGGGTTTTCACCATGTCACCCAGGCTGGTCTCTCCTGAGCTCAAGCAATCCTTGATCTCTGTGATCCGCCCGCCTCGGTCTCCCAAAATGCTGGGATTACAGGTGTGAGCCACAAGCCGGCCTTTACATTTTTTATTTACATTTTGAACATATAATGGGTTGGTCAGGTGTGGTGGCTCGCACCTATAATCCCACTTTGAGAAGTCGAGGCCAGTGGATCACGAGGTCAGATGGAGACCATCCTGGCTAACATGGTGAAACCATCTCCACTAAAAAATACAAAACTTAGCCAGGTGTGGTGGCGAGCACCTGTAGTCCCAGCTACTCGGGAGGCTGAGGCTGGAGAATGGCATGAACCCGGGAGGCGGAGCTTGAAGTGAGCTGACATCGTGCCACTGCACTCCAGCCTGCGCAACAAAGACTCTATCTCAAAAAAATTTTTTTAAAAAGTTCAGCTTTCACATACCACCTTAACTTTTGTACTATTAAAAAAGAACAGAGGCTGGGCGTGGTAGCTCACACCTGTAATCCCAGCACTTCGGGAGGCTGAGGCAGGAGGATCATGAGGTCAGATCGAGACCATCCTGGCTAACACGGTGAAACCCCGTCTCTACTAAAAATACAAAAAATTAGCCAGGTGTGGTGGCGGGCACCTGTAGTCCCAACTACTCGGGAGGCTGAGGAAGGAGAATGGCGTGAACCCGGGAGGCGGAGCTTGCAGTGAGCCGAGACCACACCACTACACTCCAGCCTGGGCAACCAGTGAGACTCCATATCAAAAATAAAAATAAAGAATAGGCCAAGCGCAATAGCTCACACCTGTAATCCCAGTACTTTGGGAGGCTGAGGTGGGTAGATCACGACGTCAGGAGATCGAGACCATCCTGGCTAACATGGTGAAACCCTGTCTCTACTAAAAACTACAACAAAAATTAGCCGGGTGTGGTGGTGTGCACCTGTAGTCCCAGCTACTCAGGAGGCTGAGGCAGGAGAATGGCGTGAATCCAAGAGGCAGAGCTTGTAGTGAGCAGAGATCGCACCACTGCACTCCAGCCTGGGGGACAGAGTGAAACTCCGTCTCAAAAAAAAAACAAACAAAAAACAGAACAGGACCCGGTATGGTGGCTCACACCTATAACCCCAGCACTTCGGGAGGCTGAGGCCGCTGCTCTCTTGCAGTCGAGAGTTTGAGACCATCCTGGCCAACACAGTGAAACCCCATCTCAACTAAAAATACAAAAATTAGCCAGACATGGCAACAAGGCACCTGTAATTCCAGCTACTCGGGAGGCTGAAGCCCAAGAATTACTTGAACCCTTGAACCCGGAAGTGAAGGCTATAGTGAGCAGAGATGACGCCACTGCAGTTCAGCCTGGGCGATAGAGCGAGACTCACTCTCAAAACACAGTAATCCAAGCCGCCTACAACTTCCCTGACTGCTGGGAAACATAGTTCACTTACAGCCCAAATTCAACAGCCAAGCCAAACCTCAGGCATACCTACATGTGGGCAAAGCCTCAGCTGAGGCTTGGCCTCGGCAGTGCAGGGCCAGAGTGCCCCCCGCTTTGCCAGGAACCCCACAGTGCTACTTCACAGTCCCCACCTGCCTTCCTGAGGACACAGAAACACGCAAAAAATGATCATGTTAACCTTCTTACCGGCATTGACAAGATTAGGCCTCCTCACATCTTTGGCACCATTTAGAAAACAAATGAGGTGTGGTGGCTCACACCTGAGATCCCAGCACTTTGGGAGGCTGAGGCAGGAGGATTGCTTGAGTCCAGGAGGGAAACCAGCCTGGGCAACACGCCACAGTGGCTCACACCTGTAATTCCCAGCACTTTGGGAGGCCGAGGCAGGCAGATCACTTGAGGTCAGGAGTTCAAGACCAATCAGGCCACAGCAAAATTCTCAAAATAAATAAAACTTAGCTGGGCATGGTGGCACATGCCTGGAGTCCCAGTTACTTGGCAGTTTCAGGCAGGAGAGTCCAGGAGGTGGAGGATGCAGTGAGCTGACTGCACTACACCCATCTGGAAAACAGCAAGACTCTGCCTCTGAAACATTGTTTAAAAGCCGGGCACAGTGGCTCACGCTTATAATTGGCCAAGGCCTGTAAAAGGACAAGGCAGGCAGATCACAAGATCAAGAGATCGAGACCATTCTGGACATGGTGAAACCCCCGTCCCTACTAAAAACACAAAAATTAGCTGGGCGTAGTGGTACACGCCTGTAATCCCAGCTACTCAGGAGCCCGAGGCAGGAGAACTGCTTGAACCCAGGAGGTGTAGGTTGCAGTAAGCAGATGGTGCCATTCCACTCCAGCCTAGGAAACAGACTCCATCTCACAAAAAAGTTTCAAAGCAAGCAAATGGATTTCTAGCAACACTAGTCAGGACTGGGATGACCATAGAAAATCCTGATGGTGGATAGAACGCGTGAGTTTGTCAGCAATTCAGAGGGTTGCTGAAGTCTGCAAAGTTCAATCCGGCGCCCCTCACTCCACAGGGCCATCCAAATGCATTCAAAGTGACATCTTATAATTCTTTGCCACGCTAATTCCCTGAGCACTTCAAATGCTCAGCAGACCCATGCAGCTGGCAGCTGCTTCTCTGACACAGGGGTAGGGCATTCCAACCATTCCAGAACGTTCCACGTAACACACCGAGGCAGCCCCAGGCTGCACCTAACTAGGGCCCGGGTCCCCTTCTAGGCTCTGGTGAGCCCAGTACTGGGCAGCCCTGCTCCCCTAGGAAGACACGGTGAAAAACGCAGAACGGAGTCACCACCATATCAAATTTATTATTCCAATGGCACTAGTACAGCTGGAGGTGCTCATGGTGACACCGCACAGGACTTCCTGCCTGCTAGAAATCATCTACCCGCTTGTTCCTTTCCCCTTTCCGGGGCAAAAGCCACTACGGGCCATTTACCCAAATAAACCTCTTAATGCGTTTGTTAAAATTTGTTTGGACATCTGAGTTTCCCTCTGAAGAAACGGAAAAAGTGTTGGGTGTCCCATCCCACCTCCCCCTCCCCGACCAGCCCAGTAAAAGTCCCTGCTAAGAGGGCGTGTCTGCTGCCTCTGGACTCTGGAAATAAATATCGAAAGAAACGGCATCAAGTGTTAAGGTTGAGTGATGGCACGCAGCGGGCCCCGGAAACCTCTCAGGGGAGCGTCGCTGTGTCGGGACAGTCTCCAGGACGTGGTGCTGTGGGTGCTGCGAGTCCCCAGAGCAGCAGGTGCTGCAGGAAGGGCCGCCTACAATTTGTCCAGGAAGTTGTCCAGGGCCGGGATGCCTTCCTTCAGGCCCTTGCGTTTGCGGGTCTCAGCCACCACCTGGCTGGGGCGGCTGCTGTTGTCAAAGGGGTCTCCGGGCAGGATCTGCCAGTGGTCGAACACACACTGGGGGAAGGCCTGGCCGCCCGTGTTGGACCTCAGGTCAGCGGTGAAGCCTGCAGAGGAAGCGAAAGGCTCACTGGGCTGCCAGCAAGGTGGCAGGATGGAGGAAAGTCCTGTCGGGAGCTCAGGCTAGTTCCTCAGCCCAGGTCACCCTGCAGACCAGACACTCGCCCTGGTGCCCAGCACTCCACCAAGGGCCTGCTCAAAGGCCTCAGTCCCTGCTTGTTCGGGATGACCCTGTGCTATAGCTCAGCTACTCTACTGGCCCGAGGCTTAAGCCTTCAGAGCTCCAGGCCCAGAGCCCTTCTCACACTGGGAATAGGAGAGTCCCTCCCCTGTGAATTCAGTGATTTGGGGTCACAAGCAGTCAGAAGCTGGGCCACCTGCTAAGTCCATCACCTGCTCCCATCAGGACACCTCCTTTAACACCCTGCTAAACTTACTGGACTTCTGGCCCCCAAACTAGCCTGCCAGGCTCTGCAGGCCACGCTGGGTAAACACTCACC